CAAACAAAAAAACCCACAAAACTTTTCTCCAACAGAGTATAAAAACTACTGAGTTGATAGAATGTATGACCCCAAATATGCATCACTGTGCATGAGCAGCTTATTTCTACCATATGGTTTCAGAAGCAAGACAGACTCTGTGGGTGGTTCTGTTGCTGGAGCCAGTAAAGCAAGTATGTATCCATTATGAGGTTTACCCACAGCATCTGCACAGCTTTAAGAGGTAAATCCTAGAAATGATGTTAATCTTGAGTAGTACAAACCTCTGTGAAAGCAAGTCACTGCTACATTAACAGTTAAGTTGGAACTGCAGAAGATTTGATATGCTGTTGTAGACATTTTGTCTCCACGTAACTGCTTTAACAATGCTTGTAAGGTTATTCATCTGTGAGAATATCAGAGGATTCTTCAGCTACATCAGTTCCAGCAATACCTACTGCAAATCCAACATCTGTACAGAATTCTTATGTTGAACTCTAATTATCAATATGGTAATAGATGGGAATTTAAGTGATTAGATCATGAAAGTGGGGCCCTCATGAATTGAATTAGTGCCTTTACAAGAGTGCCATTAAGTTGCTTTGCTTAATGTATGCAAATACATGAACCAGAGAACAGTCTCTCACCAGACAATTATGCTGGCACCTTCATCATGGACTTTCTAGCCTTCGAACTTATGAGGAATACATTTCTATTGTTTATAAGCTACCTAGTTTATGCCATTTTGATATATTAGCATGAATGGAATAAGATAAACCAGACTTCTGGGTTATAATTAATAGTATTACATTCACCTACTGAGTATTGTCAGGTGCTTAATACAGTTCTTACTCTTAATAGGCCTATGAAGAATCAATCATCCTAATATTGTAAATGAAATAACTTGCCCACAGATGTGTGGCTACCAAGTGACTGAATGAGCAACCCAGCCTGGACTCCTCAGAGGACTCACACTGATGATCTTGTCGGTTGCCATGCTTTGCTATCACCATGGAGATCAACTTTCTGCATTATAAACAGGCCTTCAGGCTTCTTTCCCTTCCCTCCCTCTCTTCCTTCCTTGGTTCTTTCACTAGAGATTACTCATTCAGGTAACCAAAAATAAATTATTTCACTGCCACCTGCTACTAAGAGGACCAGAGCCCAAGGCTTATGCTAATCAGCAAATCTTAAGAGAAAGGAAAATACATGCCTTAAAAATCCTGCTACACAAGTACAAGTTGGTCATGGGTAGAGTAAGCAGATGTTGCTGCTTGGACAGTAACCACCACAATATATTATTCAGATTCATTGAGGAATAAAGTATTTGATGTTTCTTGCTAACACTTGAAATCTCTGCACCCCGTATAATTAAGCTTCTGGATTTAAAAATAAAAACAGACTATTCATAATTATTTTCCATGATCTTTAGGTCATCTTTACCAATGACATGGTTAAACCATACCATATTAGTATTATTAATACTGCTTACAAAGTTTATTATAATGGTTTAATGTAAACAATCCAGGATAAAGTGTATTTATCCCATTTTTTCTGTGTGAGTCAGTCTTGTTCGTGGTTGAAATTGTTTAAAAATTAGACTATTTTCTATTAAAAATAAACACAATGAAAACTGCCCGTTTTCTAAATGCATTATGCCCCTTTTATAATATCATACTGACGCTTCCAAATATAAAATTTTTCAGTTAACTGAAGTATACATCTCTACTTACAATAGAAAATCTTTTGATGAATTTATTCCTACTTTGCTTAGCAAAGAAACATAAATTTTCTCTTCCTTGATTCATTCATATGAACATATATTTCATATATATGAAGCTGTAATATAATCATGTCTTTGGGGCTATCCTGTATAAGCAAAATATACTATATACAACACAATTCCTGCTTGCCACAAATTTTTGACTCTGCAGTCTTCTGCCTATGAGGCAATTTACTTCCCTTTGTGCCTAATTCCCCACCGGCTTTCCCCTACCCCCCAAATGTGTCCAATGAAGTTATTACAAATAATGCATGCATTATGTCAGTAAAGTTCTTCATGATATCTGTAAGGCTCGAGACCCAGGAGGATAAGACAGTTTTTGTTTATAGATGTATCTATGTGTCCTATAGTGCTTCTTAGTGTTTCTATCAGCTTAAATAGTATTTTAGTGTTTTTCACTTTCAGATTTTCCTACAATTTCTTGACATTTATTGCTTAAAAATATTTTAGTGGAAAAGGTCTCTGAATCAAATTTTAATTTCCATAAATGTCTAGAGCAATGGCTACAAATTAACATGAAATTTGAATTTGTATTCTTTGACAGTATGTTCAGAGAAATGGTGACCAGATCTTAATACCAGAATTATGAAGGGTTGCCAATACATTTCCTAGTGAGAAGCATTTAAAACTTTCCAGTGTTCATTGTGATAAGGTTCATAGTTCAAACAAATTATTGCTGCTTTACAGTTTATATAATTAAATGAAACATGTTAAACTCAAGGGAAATTTTAATAGGTTACTTGCAATTGTTATTGCAGGCAACAACTTGTACATGATTTTATTTCCAAATCCACAAAAAACAAATTTTATACAAATCAGCACTGTAAAAATGTCAATTACAGCCCCAGAGGCATTGCTGGCAGAATAATTGTCTAAATTCTAGGATATGGGAAACAGGTTTTTTTTTTCTGGATTCCTTTTTTTTTTTCATTTTCTTTTTTTTACAAAAAATTTACAAGTGAAATGTTACTACGAAACTTTTTATAAGGAATTTTTGCAAAACATTTACATTTTACCATCAACTATTTCTGTTTTAAAATCATTATGTAGATTTAATACCCTATGCTGCACATCAATTTATGTGGGATGACAACTTAGTGACATGCATAAAAAAACACCACAAGGCATTAAAATGGAGACTTAAATACAAATATTGTTGCAATAAAACAGTTATAAAATTGAAAAATAGGACCTAAACATCATGCTTATCTAAGTTTGACAAATTAACTTTTTCTCCTAGATTACACACTTTTATTACTGCTCTCATGAGAGTGTGATAAATAATGACAACATCAAGTTCTAATGTAATCAGCAACACATACACAAACCTAACCAAAGAAAGTATACTGTAAGAAAAAACTATTCTAACACTGGAGTTCTACTATGATAAATACATAGCTTTGCACTGATAATTACAAAAAAGAAAAGTTTTATAATGGTGGCAAAGGGAATGAACAGTGAAATGCCATTAAACAAGACTCTACTGCACATCTGTGCCCTATTACTTATAACAGCTATATCCCACTGAGTCAAAGAAAGGACACTGAAATTTACGATTCTTATAAGACAGAAAAGTGGACTCAGAATGGTATGCAGAACAGACTGTCAAAATATTTCTAATTTCAGTGGTGAAATGTGCACCTGCTAACACAAATTAATATATGCCATAAAGCTATCCAGATTCAGTTTGATAAATTTATAATAGGCCTCATTGTTGATTAAAAAATAATTTCTATTTCTGATAAACATACATGGATTTTCATTAAAACTAGTTCAGGAAATAATGATGCAGAGTGCTCATACTTGGTATTAACAACAACAAAAAGTGTCAATCGGAGGAAACATGATTAAAACATTAAGTATCTTTGCATAAAAAAATTTATAGCACTGATTGTGTAGCATAATGATAAAATATATATTTGATGTTTCAGCTCCTATGTAATAAAATTAAAATTAACACTACCAACTGCTCCTCTGTACCAAACAAAACAACAAACTAATTCTGATGTTTTAAAGCCAGATACATCAGTTGTTAAAGAGTACATTAAATAAAATATACAAAACAATTTACAAAATCCAACTAAAATTTAAAGACTTTGTTACAAGTCTACAAAAGCTTTAAGAAACTTGAAATTTATAACCACAGTGTAAAAATTTTTTTCCTTTAATCTCAAAGCTTTTTTATACAAACTGAAAGCACAAAAGACCTTCAGTTTTATATAACGCTACAAAGGGCTGGCCTAAAGTGTACATAGTGTAAACAGTGATCATTACAGTATTTCTCCTTCATCAAAAATACAAGAAACATCACAATTTTGGAAGAGAATTTGCATGAGTAGTACTTTTCCTGAAATAATAGAGAATGCATAAGAAAACATGGACCTATTTTCAAACAGTTCCCAAACCAATGATTTAATAAACCAAGCAGGTAAAACTTTAGTTTTAAAATTGCTCATTTCATTTTATGATTCTATGTAAATATTTACTAAAAATGAAGATTTTACTATTTAAGCTATTAGAATTATCCAATTTTTATCATATGAAACTTTTGGCCATCTTTCCTAATAAAACCATTTTCTATAAGAACCTTTCATGAACAATGAAATATATCTTTATCTTTAGTCATTAGTTGAAAAGTATTGACTTTCCAAAAATAATTTTTGCTTCATAGTATCATATCTATTATACATTTGTTAGGCCGCCTAGATGTTTAGGGAAAATTCAGTTACTGATATACCATAAAGATATAAATTCCCAATTAACATTCTAACAGTACTAGAAATAAAATGGGATTGGCCAATTTTTAGTAAAGGAAAACAAAAATTATATTATGGTTAAAATATAATTTTCTGCTGGCCTTGAAAAAGAGTGATAATTCTTTCTTTGGCTACCAAGTCAAAGCATAAAGAATTCTGCACATTGTCAACATAACTCATATTTACAGAATATGAAACTACAAAATGATTTATAATCTATGCAAATATTTCCAATATAAACATTTAAAATGAAATATTGTGGTTCAACCTAGGGTTAGGAATATAATCAGTCCTAACTTTAAAAGACTGCATGTTAAGTTGCTTCACTTTACTTTCTGAAGCTATTATGTGTTCTGTTTTAACCATTTTTGCCCCTACCATTTTCCTAAGTTTTCAGTCTAAAGTTTTAACCTAAGATTTATCTCTAAGTTCCTCTTGAGTCTCCAAAATGGAGAAAGTAATTGGATTTCATTGATTGTCTGAATACACACTACTACAATGTAGTGGTAATAAAGATCTGAGGTGTAGCTCAGATTTCTGTGTTGGAACTTACCTAATTTAATGTTTGAAGAATTTCTAACACTTAGAAAAGACGGCCAAAACTATTTCAAGTTGATTTTCTAAAAATCAAGCTGAGGAAATATAGTAGCATTCCTATCTTCATTTAATAGTTTTCTGTGCTATAGAGAAAAGGAAATATATGTAAATTACTACTGACTGAATTTGAAAGTACTTTCAAAGAAAATAAGTCCAATTAAGGTCCAGCCTGCAAACTACTGAGGTCTTTTTAAATACATTAATATATGATGTTGGGGGGGGGGTTCTGTTTAAAGGTTATGTGATATATTTCCAAATAACTACAATTTATAACATGAAGGAAATACTTTTCTATTCGTTTCCAGTATATCAACTTGCTTTTTGTATTTTTTAAAATTTCAACACTTAAGGTGTTGAACCCAAACCCTGGAATACTTAAAAGAAGCCAAGAATGAAATCATGATTTCCTACTCCGTAATCCACTCGACCAGCCCATTTCCAGATTTTCAAAGGTGTGTAAACTTAAGTGCAGCACTAGAGGTCTCTGTTATAAATAGCTTTTCAGAATTCTTCCATGTTGGTCGAAACACTGGGAGTTGCTGGATTTGAATCTTGAGAAATGGCTGCAACGGTGACAATTCTTGGGGAGCCAAGCACCTCTGTAACAGATGAGTCCAGTTCTCCCGAGGTAACAATGGCAAGAGCTGTCCCACCTCCTTTCTTATTCTGGTGCGTTTTGACATGTTTGGAAAGATGATCACTCCGCATAAACCTTTTAGAACATTCTGGGCATTCAAATCTCTTTTCACCTATAAGAAAAACAGATGAATTTATATACATTTTAGTTAAATAAAATTATAATTTTAAATAATTTCTCTTCTGGTCATGCTATACTTTTTGCATGGTAGGGATTTTTCTATAGTTTTATCAGATGCACAGTATTTTTTCTCTATTAAAAATACTATCAAATAAACCACGTAGGACAGGAGATAAACCATGTGAATGAGAATACAAGATGGAAGTTAAAGACCTAGTTTTCCTATGAAGTGGAAATAAAAGCTTGAGCAAGTAAAATAACTGTTCTAGGCCTCACCTTCTCTGTCCACAAAATAAGATGGCTCCTAATACACGATCTTAAAAATCACTGTCAGGTGTGACAATACATAAGTGTTCAAGCCTCATGTCTATTCTTTCAGTTTTAATCCCTATAAATATGAAATATCTTCAAACTGTTTTATTTATTTATTTATTTTTTGGTACCAGGGATAGACTTGGGACCTTGCACTTGTAAGGCAGGCAGTGGCACCACTGAACTAAATCCCCAGCCCTCAAACTGTTTTAAATGAAGAATTTAATGGTGTAATGAGTCTTTCACAAGGCAAAAATACTGAGAGGTAAGAACATACCACATTTCAAATTAAGTTAGTTTTCTGGTTTCACAGACTACTACCATTATTTTTTGCTATATAAAATGATCCTTAAATATACCCTCTTCGAATAAGACAGTGCTAGTGGAACAACTATGCTAATGCAATAAAAACTACAGAGTCTGTCCCCCCCAAAAGTATACACACTTCAGGAAAAGACAAAATAGCATGTTTTTCCAACAGATGGTGTTACCCTCATATGGGGGACATAGAGGATGTTGTATATTGCAGAAAATCTAATACACTGCTGGCCCTTAGAGAAATTGAAAATGCATGTGCAGCAATCTCAATGACCAACATTACCCAAGCGGCAGTTCACTGTACTAATAAATGCCTGGCCATTGGAGTACCACCTGCAATTGAAGAGGACAAAGTAACTTGTATTAATCTCATGATATCTCAAAATTTAGTATTAAAATATTTATAGAAGTTTTTCTTTTCCTAATGTGTGCATACATTTTTTTGGTGAACTCTGTATATGTTAACTAAAAAAGAAAAAAGTCATTTTTGTGTGTGTGTAAAATTGGCGGGGCACATGAAAATTTCATTAACTGGCACATCCTGATGTTCACATGGGTAAGTATTGTAGACTTAGCATTTTCTTCTACATTTTTGCTTATGGGGATGAAATGAGGTTTTTTTCTAGTTTGATAGTGAAACTTGGGTAATAAGAAAATTCAATTTGGCAGATTTCTTAGCCCCGCCTTTAATGTATCAAGAGACAAACTACAAAGCTGTTTGTTCATGTGAGGTTTTCCCCTTTTATTTGCTTGACAATCAGACAACTTGTTAATATTACAGAAAGATTCAAGGCATCTGATTTATAGTATGGATCCTTATGCCACACTGCCAGACTGCAACTAGACACTGATCATTCTGTAAGTACACAGCTGGAGATCAACCAGTACACAGTGGCCTCAACAAATTATTATGGGATTTTCATAAACTCAATTTTTTTTTTTTTACCAACACCTACAGAATATGTACAGTGCGCCAGACACTGGTGATATGAGAAACAAAGGAGTCTCTGATTTTAAGGACTCTCCATTCTCTTGAGATAGTTAATGCAACCACATACTATAGAGTGGTAAGTTTCACTTAAGAAATGAAGAGATTCCAATCCTCAGCTACTCAGTGGTAAACCACAAGATGAGTGGGAACTAATGGTGACATGGTGTGTGAACTTCTTAGTCTACTTAAGTGTGTGGGTATTTAATTAATTTCCAATAATAAAAGCTGGCAAGAATCTCAAATATGCAAATTATACCATACAATTACACGTTCATTAGAGGAATTACACATTTTAGTTCATCGTCCATTTTTACAATAGTGTTTTCTCTTGTCAGGTAATTTCTAAATTCCCTACCTTGTGTAAGCATTATCAGTATACTTTATCTCAAAGATGTAAAGAGTGTTTATGCTAAGTGATATCTTTTTGACAAATTCAGAATACATGAATACTTATAATAATTAATGCATCTAATTATTAAAATTATTGGTATGTTACAGTGGTAAGTGGAATGTCCTGATGAAAATGTCCATGTTCCTACCCCTGGAAGTTGTAAGCATGTTACAAGGTACCAGGGACTTTGCAGCTTTAAGGTCATGGAAAATTAACTTAGGAAACTTATTTTGATCAGGGTGGTCCCAATCTAATCAATATGAGCTGTCCAAAGCAGACAGCTTTCTTTAGCTCATGTCAAAGAGGTTAAATGTGTGAGAGAGCCCTGACCTGAGCTGCTGCAGATCACACGGCAAGTCTGATGAGAACATGGGCAGCCTTCAAGAACAAACAACGGCCCCTAGGTTACAGCCACCAAGAAGCAGGGACCCAAGTCCTACAACAGCTGAGTTTAATTGATGGTATATATGAATTTGGAAGCAGATTATTCCTGACAACCCCCAGGAAGGAATGTAACCCTGCTGATACTTTTTTTTTTTTTGGTACAGGGAATCCACCTTGGGTCCTTGAGCTTCCAAGGCAGGCAGAGGCACCACTGAGTTAAATCCCCTGCCCAAACCCTGCTGATAACCTTGACTTCACTCTGTGAGACGATAAACAGTATACTTCCGCTGAGCCCACCGGACTTCTGACCTAATGAACTATAACATAATGTTAAAGATGTGTAAAATATTTTAAGCTGCTAAATTTGTGATGTTCTCAACTCTGCTGAACATTTTTATAAAAATGGAAGCACGTGTTTGCCAAATATTTACTGTGTATTTAAATGATCACATTTTTCTTTTATCATTAACATGGTGAATTACATTGCTTGAGTGATTTTCAATTGTTCAAACCGCCTTTCATTCCTAGAATAAACTCTACTTAGTTCAGATGCAGTAGTCTTTTCATATACTACTGAATTTGGTTTGTCAATCCTTTGTTGAGAATGCTGGCACCTAACCTTATGATATTAGGCTCTAGCATTTTTCTGAATTCCCAGTAATGTCTTTGCCTGCTTGTTATGATGATGCAGGCTGAGATATGTTCTCTCTTTATTAATTTTTAGAAAGAAGCTATGCATAATTGATATTGTTCCTTCCTTAAATGTTGTAATTTAACAAATGAAACAATTTAAGAACAGTTTTCTTTGTTGAAAGTTTTAAACATTAAACCCAATTTATTCAAAAGAAATGGAACTATTCATGGTATCTATTTCTTGAGCTAATGGTAGTTTGTGTCTTTTAAGAAGTTGGTTCACAAATCTAGGGGAAAGACTGTACACAGCATTCCATTATTACCCATTTAATGTCTACATGGTCTTTGGTGATACTGGTAAATTTTCTTGGCCAGTCTGGCAAAAGGACTTAGCAGTTTTACCTTTTCAGTAAACCAGAGTTTGGTTTCACTGATTTTCTCTATTGCCCTATTTTCAATTATTTTCTAGCTTCTTGTTTAGCTTTAACTGCGTTTCATTTTCTAGCTTTCTAATGTGAAAGCTTACGGTACTATGGTCAAAGACCTTCCTCTTTTTTTAACCAATGAAAGGATTTAATGTTAAAATTCAATCTTGCTGGGTATGGTGGCACACACCTGTAATCCCAGCACTAAGAGATAGAGGGCAGGAGGATCCTAGCAAGTTCCAGGCTGCCCCTGTCTGCATAGTGAGTTCAAGGTCAGCCTGAACTACAAAGCAAGATCCTGTCTCAAACATTCACACCCCCCAAATCACTGGAAGCATTGCACAATTTGCATACATGATATTCTGTTTAAAATATTTTCTTTTTTTTCCTCATTGAGTTTATTGTAACATTTTAGGTGTACAGTACAGTTACATTCATTATTGGGATCTTGTACCTTTACATGACAGGCCTTGGTTCTCATTTTTTCCCCTTGTCCATGCCCTCCCTTCACCTCCTCCTCCTCTCCCCATTTACAAACACTTTATTTCCATTTTTTCATTTTCTCATATTTTTTTCTTTTCCCTTATTCCCTTTCCCCTACCCTTCCCACTTTTCCTATACCTTTAGCCTTTTCTTCCTATTTCACATTGTCAATTATCTCATTAGGATCTTATATACAATTATAGTTTTTCACATCAGAGAATCTATTCGGTATTTACACATGTGTGACTTATTTATTTCACTTAGGAGTATATCCTCAATATGTAACCATTTTCCTATGAATGAATCTAATTTCTCATTCTTTATGGCTGAGTAGTATTCCATTTTGTAGAAAAACCACATCTTCTTTATCCAGTTTCCAACTGATGGGCAAATGGGCTGTTTCCAAGTTTTAGCTATTACAAACTGTGCCGCTATAAACATAGGAGCACATAAATCACTGTGACATGATTCTTTTAATTCTTTTGGAAAGATACCCAGCAGAGGGATGGCTGGGTCAAGTAGAACCTCTAGTCCCAGCTCTTTGAGGTATCTCCATATTGATTTCCATAGTGGTTGCACCAGCCTGCACTCCCACCAATGGAGAAGGGTTCCTTTCTCCCCATAACCCTGCCAACATTTGTTATTGTTTGATTTCTTGATAGCAGCCATTCTTTGTGGGGTGAGATGGAATTTCAGTGTTGTTTTCATCTGCATCTCTCAAATAAATGGTGTTGGAAAAACTGGATTTCAACCTGCCAAAGATTAAAACTAGACCCTTATCTTTCACCATGCACTAAACTAAAATACAAGTGTATTAAAGATCTAAATATTAAAAAGAAACACTAGGGCCAGAGATTTAGCTCAGTGGTTCTGTCGCCTGCCTTGCAAGCACAAGAACCCAAGTTCGAACCCCGGTACCAAAAAAACAAAAAGAAAAAAGAAACACTAAACTTGCTGGAAGGTAAGTTAGGCAGAACTCTTGAAGACACTAGCATAGGAAAACACTATTAACAAATCCTCAGTAGCACGGGAACTAGCACAAAGATTCAAAACAA